TGTGTGTGTGTGTGTGTGTGTGTGTATGTATGCGTGTGGGTGTGGGTATGTATGAGTGTGTGTGTGTGTGTGTATGCGTGTGTGTGTGTGTGTGTGTGTGTGTGTGTGTGTGTGTGTGTATGCGTGTGTGTGTGTGTGTGTGTGTGTGTGTGTGTGTGTGTGTGTATGCGTGTGTGTGTGTGTGTGTGTATGCGTGTGTGTGTGTGTATATGTATGCGTGTGTGTGTGTGTGTGTATGTATGCGTGTGTGTGTGTATGTATGCATGTATGCGTGTGTGTATGCATGTATGCGTGTGTGTGTGTGTATGTATGAGAGAGAATGTGTGTGTGTGTTTATGTGGTTTATGAGGACACAAATTTGTATAATAACATGGGTATGACATAGGTATTACAACGAGAAGGTGATTTATGAGGACATTTTCAGTGTCCCCATAATTCAAAAGGATTATAAATAATTCAGAATGAGTTTTTTTGAAAATCTAAAAATGCAGAAAGTTTCCTGTGAGGGGTAGGTTTAGGGGTAGGGTTGGTGTAGGGCAATAGAAAATACAGTCTGTACAGTATAAAAACCATTACGCCTATGGAGAGTCCCCATAAACCATAAAAACAAACCTGAGTGAGTGTGTACTGTGTATATGTATATATAAATACAAACACATGCATGTATACATTTAAGAAAAATGTTGTTTTGTATTTATATAAGAATATAAATATATACATGTAAATACTTGTAAACATTTTTTTAAATATATACTGTTTGTGCGTGTATTTTTATATATATATATATATAATGTACACAATACACATACATATATTATTTTGTATGTGATTAATCACGATTAATCGTTTGATAGCACTAAAAGGGAAGCTTCTCGGATACGTTTGTTTTCTGTCTCAGTCAGGCCCGTCTGACAGAAGTCAGGTAGGTTTGACCGATGTGTCCAGCTTGTGCTCTGACCGCATGTGTGGTGTTGTTGTTGTCCTGCAGTAAGCTCCTGATCTACGCCTGCCTGCTGCTCTTCTCCGTGCTGCTGTCGCTGAGGCTGGATGGCGTCATCCAGTGGAGCTACTGGGCGGTGTTTGCGCCCATCTGGCTCTGGAAACTCATGGTCATCATTGGGGCTTCTGTGGGCACCGGGGTTTGGGCACACAACCCACAGTACAGGTCAGACACAACTTCTCCCTGCTTATGATTAGGGTTGGGAATCGAAAATCAATTTCAGAATCGCATACTAAAGGTCAGGAATCGGATACTTGTTGTACAATTAACATTTTAATTCCACCTATCAATTATTTTTAGGTGGCGAAAAGGGGCTGTTAAAATGTATTTGTCTTTGAATCATTCATTCAAGAGATTCATTCAAAAGCACTGATTCATCCTGTAATGAAACAAGTAAATCTTGAAATGAAGTCACTTATTAGAATCATATTTAATGCATGGATTGCAGGTGCCTTGATCCACATGATCAAAACTGTGCTGAAAAACCTGTCGTACACAATTTACTGCATGCCTTCTGGCGTGTGCTTGATTGTTGCTTTTTTAGCAAATGAAAGACCTTTGGTATGACTTTAGATTAGGGAACACTATTCACTATTAACTAGTTGCTTATTAGCTTTATATTACCAGCATATTGGCGCTTTATTACGTTTAAAGCACATATTAATGCTTTATTCTGCATGACCATATTCTAGATCTCTTGTCCCGACCCAATACCCATAACTACTACAACAACTACCTTACTTATGGTCTATATTTGAGTTTATTGAGGGGAAACTCTTAATAGTGAACGTGTTCCCTAATCTAATCTGTTACCAGTGTAATTCTAAAACTGCGGCATACATGCCTTTTTGCTGTGAAATCTTTCCTGATTTAAATTATTTGCTTCTTTAATAGCTTATATACTGTTATATTTTTAAATTTTTAGATGAACACTTACTGGACTGAAGCAGTTTAAGCTTACTTGATTATCAATACATTATTTTCTAGAAAAACTCACGTTCATGTTCCAGTCTCGAATCATCGGGGTTTTGAGGAACGTTAATTTGTTCATCACTCAGTCATCATTGTACTGCATCCATTATATGTTTTGATAATCAAATTAAGCATTTAAATATCATCTTGCGTATTATTGGAGATACAGAGTGACAACTGATATTTCTATGATTTTATGTAAGTAAAGATCTAATTGATTTACTTTACAAGCTACGAGAATTTCATCCTACTTTTTTGGCCATATACATCTCACGTATCAGCATCTGCACCAAAATTGCATAGTTTTTGCTCAGTTTGGGCCTCTGAATAAATCTGAGCTGTTTTTTCCTCCATAGTCTTGAGTATATCATACTTTATGACCCATAAAACCCTGATGTATTAAATATGACACAAAATGCAAAATACATGTGCAACTTTTTTATTTTGTCTAAAGGTAATGTATCAGGCTTTATACGGTTAAGGACCCTTATACACTTTCCCAGTCTTGTTTAGCATAATTTGTGTATACGGTATCAAAATAATGATTTTTTAAATGTTATTTCGGCTTCTGTTGAAGGTAAAGTCTTGCCAGCACACTAATAAACTTTGTGAAAATGCCATATCATGTTGCCTTTATGACTTAAAGGGACAGGTCACCCAAAAATTAAAATTCTGTTATCGTTTACTCATGTTGAGCATGTTGTTTCAAACCTGTATGAGTTTCCAAACAGTTGTCGGTAGCCGTTGACTTCCATAGTATTTTTTTCCATAGTATGGAAGTCAATGGGGACCAGCAACTCTTTGGTTACCAACATTCTTCAAAATATCTTCTTTTGTGTTCAGCAGAAGATAGAGACTCATACAGGTTTGGAATAACACGAGGGTGAGTAAATGATGACTGAATTGTCATTTTTGGGTGACCTGTCCCTTTAAGGATGTGTGATTTTGGTGATGCAGTAAGCTGTCGTCTTTAGGGCTGAGGGTGAGACCTGCGTGGAGTTTAAGGCCATGCTGATCGCTGTGGGGATCCACCTCCTCCTGCTCACCTTCGAGGTGCTGGTGTGCGACCGTGTGCAGCGGGGTTCACACTTCTGGCTTCTGGTCTTCATGCCGCTCTTCTTCGTCTCGCCCGTCTCAGTGGCGGCGTGCGTGTGGGGATTCAGGCACGACCGGTCGCTTGAGGTATCAGCCGTGATTTACAATCACAGGAGGAAGATTTGTCTCTAACAAACTACCATGACCATTTTCAGTACGGTTGAAGTCGAACAAGTTATGTTGAGGTCATACTTCACGTCAAAATAAAAATAAGAAATTATATTTTATGCTTAGAAAACAAAGCCTGATTTTTGCGCTTTTTGCATTGACAGTAGTTTCATGACAATTTAGTTATTCCCATTTGTCGCAGTTATATTCATTACAATTATATTTTTAATCTTTGCTTTCTGGGTCAAAGACGAGATTCGCATTTTGCATTTTAAATTTACAAAAGTGATTTTATATACATAGGAAGCATATTAAATAAAGCATCTACTTTAATGTTTCAAATAACATTTGTGAAAATAAAATGTCAAAATAAATGTTGTCAAAATGACAACATTATTGTTAAATTTTTTTTATGTAAAAATGAAACAACATACTTATTCTGACCTCTACTTATTAAAATATATAAAAGAAAAAGTGATCACATTAAACTTTACTATATGTGACCCTGGAGCACAAAAGCAGTCATAAGTAGCAGAGGTATATTTGTAGCAATAGCCAAAAATACATTGTATGTGTCAAAATTATTGATATTTCCTTTATGCCAAAAATCATTAGGACATTAAGTAAAGATCATGTTCCATGAAGATATTTTGTGAATTTCCTACCGTAAATATATCAAAACTTAATTTTTGATTAGTAATATGCATTGCTAAGGACTTCATTTGAACAACTTTAAAGGCGATTTTCTCAATATTTTAATTTTTTTGCCCCCTCAGATTCCAGATTTTCAAATAGTTGTATCTCAGCCAAATATTGTTCTATCCTAACAAACCATACATCAATGAAAAGCTTGTTTACATATGATGTAGAAATCTCAATTTTTAAAAATTGACCCTTATGACTGGTTTTGTGGTCCAGGGTCACATATTTTAAATGATTAATAACTTGTTGCTGACAAATGGGTCAAATCTAGTGGGTTGAAGGACAGTGGTAAAGATTTAAAATGACAATTAATTAATATTTTAGGGGCTGCACTGTGACCCTTAAATACAGTCATTAAATTACATCTAATGATCCTTGTTTTAAATAAACCTGACAAGATTTTTTGGTATTGGTATTTTCATCTTTGACATATATAATATATATAATGGTTTATAGAAAAGAAAACTAAATAATTACCTTTTTTATTATAATTTTGTACTATGGTAAAGAAAAAAACGGGCTCTATTTCCTTTATAAACAATGATTTCTAATTTCTTAGTTTTTTTTTAATTGATATATGACCCACAGTTCTTGTGAGATTCACCCACATGATACCAAGCATATCTCCCTAAGCATGTCATGTTTACAAACAGAAGAATTGTTTATCTTTGTGTTTCCAGAAATGAATCGTGCCTGATTGTACACTCTTTGTGTTGTTTCATCAGCTGGAGATCCTGTGCTCTGTAAATATTCTTCAGTTCATCTTCATCGCTTTGAGACTGGATAAGATCATCAGCTGGCCGTGGTTGGTAAGGACGGCAGCCACACTCATTTACTGCTGCCATATCATCAGTCACCTGCAGCTGGGCCACCAGCTTCATAATCTGAGCTCTGTGTCTTGTTATGAGAGTAAGTGCCGTGTCTTTTCCAGGTGGTGTGCGTGCCGCTGTGGATTCTCATGTCCTTCCTGTGTCTGGTGGTGCTCTATTACATTGTCTGGTCTGTGCTCTTCCTGCGGTCCATGGATGTCATTGCTGAGCAGCGGCGCACACACATAACCATGGCAATCAGCTGGATGACCATAGTGGTGCCCCTGCTGACCTTTGAGGTTTGATTCCAGCATCATTCAGTTTTTGCTTGATTGTGTTTATGCCGTAAGTAAGCTGAAGACACTCTGAATGTCTTGGGTAGAGATCAGCCTGTACTGATTTTAAACCAGTCTAGAAACCGATTATCTTCATGTTTGTGTCCTTTACTCAATATACAGGACCTGTATTTAATAACCGTTTTAGTCATGCTTTTTTGCACATTAGTGACTAAATCATTATATATATATATGTAATTATTTAATTCAAAAGTTTGGTGTCGGGAGGATTTTCAACTTTTTAAAAAAAAATTTGAAAGAAATCTCTTCTGCTCACCAAGGCTGCGTTTATTTGATTAAAATACAATAAAAACAGGAATATTGTGGGAAAAAAAAAAAAAAAAATA